AATATTGATTTCTTAATTTTGGGTTGGAAAAGTGGGGGTTGTCTTGTACATGGGGGCGTCTTATTGACGGAAAAATACGGTATTTATTATATTGCTAATTGTATATCACAATTAAGAAGATAGTGCAAAGGAATAGCCAGCCCATTTATAAAACCTCAATTCATCGTAGAACTTCAATAGGAAGAGTCATCAATTCATTTATTGCTAGTATTTCTATGCCATTCTATGGCACAGAAATGGCACTGAGCAATGACATTTCATAACAAATAAGCTGATTAACTCGAATAAGTTATAGTGTATTAATAGCTGGAAACCAGAAAAAATAATTGTTTATATCTCTCTCATCTTTCTCCTCTTCTCCTAAAACTATTTTGGTTCTTAAAAAATTATTAAAACTCTTAGCGTAACTTAAGAGGAAAGCATAAAAAAGGGGGGAAAAAGGGAAAAAATCACAAAATACTAGGTATTAGTTGATACTAGGTTAATATCAATGAATATCTATCAGTAGAATAAAAGCAGAGCTATTTCTCTGCAGCAGGAATCAATAATTATGTCCTCACCTTTAGCTATTCATAATATTAAAATGAGACAAGGGCAACATGGCAATCCTAAGCATATTTATATTCCCAGCTTGGGCCTTATTATCATTATTTTTAAAACAGTAAATAGCAGATTAAAATATTCATTCATTCTTTAAGATCCATTGCAGTTTTTCCCCAGCTAAATGTACAAATGACTGCAGCTGTAAATGCTTATTAAAATCTTATTCAAAGAAAAAAATCAAATTCAAATTAATCTAAATCCAAATAAAACTTGAACATTAAAGTCATTACTCATGTTATATTATTTATTAAACTATAATGGATTTTTGCTCAGCACTTCTTGTAAATGCTAAATTGAATATATAGTCCCAATAAAGAAAAAATAGTCTTAATTAGGAGAAAGATAAATTAGTCTCATGAAACTCTGACAAGAAAATGAGTTTGGTCTAGCATTCAAGTTTAAATCAAGCCATGACTGTCCCATCTAGCCAGTTCAAGACAGCACTTTCATCTATCTAGAACAGTTAGATACTATCAAGTTGAGCCTGGACCTAGGTGATTACAGGACCAAAGATTCACCATTTTAACCTGCCCCTAGTAATAATCTATAGCTCTTCAAACGACACCCCAGTGATCCCCTTGGCCCTCTCTTTCCACTTTACTTGCTGTCTTCCCTTGCTTTTATTTCTCTCATCCACCCCAAATGTAACTGTTTTTTTCTAATCTTTTACAGTCATGTGAACGAGTATATCCCATGTAAAGTTTTTTTTAACAAATGTGGACATATCAATATTTTATTTTCAAACAATATATAAATATAAAGGAGATGCAACTGAACAAAAAACTATGAAAAAATGACTTTACAATCCTTTATTCAACAAATAATTAACAGATATGCCATTTTCTTCTGTAGAAAAAGTAAGTACATCTTTACCTCTAATACTTGATATTGCCCCCTTTGGCAGAAATAAGTTCAAGTAGGCATTTCTTATAACTGTCTACCAGTTTCTGACATTGACTAGGAATAATTTTTTCCCACTCCCCAATGCAGATTTTTTTCAGCTGGGCGATGTTGGAAGGGTTTCTTGCATGCACAACCCATTTCAAATCAACCCACAGAATCCTGATGGGATTTAGATCCAGGCTTTGACTTGGCTGTTCCAGAACCCTCCATTTTTTTCCCAGCCATTTCTTTGCTGGATTTACTAGAACAGTTAGGGTCATTGTCATGTTGCAAGGTTCACTTTCAGTTAAGTTTCAATCTTTTGACAGATGGTCTCACATTATCCTCAGGTACCTCTGTTACAATGAAGAATTCATAGTGGATTCTATGATGGACAGCTGCCCAGACCCTGATGCGGCAAAGCAGCCCCAGACAATAATATTGCCACCACCATGCTTTACAATTAGAATCAGGTTCTTCTGGTGAAATGCTCTGTTTTTTTGGCCAAACATGTCTTCTGATACCGTGCCAAATAACTCTATCTTTACCTCACATATGCACAGCACATTGTTCCAGAAGTCTTGGTCTTTGCCTAGGTGTTCATGAACAAACTTTAGCCTTGCCCTGATGCTCTTTCTGGATAGCAATGGTTTCCTCCTGGCACACTTCCCATGTAGATCTAATTTGTGCAGCTTCTTTCTAATGGTAGCCTCATGCACTTTGATATCAATAGTGGTGAGAGCTGCCTATAGGTCACATGGCAAAATTCTGGGGTTCTTAGAAATTTCTTTCAGCATCTTGCATTCTGTTCTTAGGCTGAACTTGTTGGGATGGCCTGGCCTGGGCAAGTTGGCAGTTGTTTGAAATCTTTTCCACTTGTAAATCATTTTCCAGACAGTGAAATGATTGAGGTCCAATTGTTTGGCGATCTTTTAAAATCCTTTCCCAGACTCCTAGGTATGTATAACCTTCTTTCTGAAGGTCACACAGAGCATTTTCGATCTAGGCATGGTGATACCACACACTTCAACAACAAACAGCAAATCAAACTAATTATCTGAGGTTTTAATAATACAGGTTCCTCCTAGATCCTCTCTAACAATGTTCTAATCATTTGCACCTGATCTGGTGCACTTGATTCTAATTTTAGGCATTTGAGGTAGTGATAAATGTGGGAGTGTGCATACTTTTTCCACATGTGAAATTTGCATTTATGTTTACTTAAATTACACAATGGATTACAAAATGTAAATGGTGCATAATATTTATTATATTATATCTCCTTTATCTATCAATATTATTGAAATGAAGATCAAATATCTGTATGTTAAAATATGTTGAAAAAGTCAAGTTTCAATGGGGTGTACTTACTTCTTCAGATGACTATATCTGCTCACAGCACATGCCTGAAATATGTGAGTTTTTGCTTGGCAATCATCGCCTCAAGGGAACAACCAGTCTTTATTTGGTCCAGAACCAACTTACTGGTCCATGTTAATCTTAACCACCATCTCCAAATCCTTAATTCAAATACTTTTTTTCTCTCTCTCCCTTTTTCAATGTCCAGCATTCAGAGATATACATTACTACTGGGAAGACCATCTTTTTAACTATTCTTATTTTCACTTTCATTGAAAGTTCTTATCCTTCATGATCTTGTCTACATTTGCCATTGCCTTCTTTCTTAGACTTAATCTCCTTCTCATTTCTCCAGTTTTCTGTATGTCTTTATTTTTGCATCAAAGAAAACAAAACCCTCTACCACCTTCATTTCTTCACTGCCAACAATAAGTTCAGGCATGCTGGTTCACATTACCTTTTTCTAACAGTTAACATTAGACCCCATTTTTCACTTTCATCATGAGTTCATTAAGTCATCTTTACTTTTAGCTAAGTGGTATCATCTGTATACCTAAGATGGTTTAAACTTGTATTTGATTCCAGCTGTCATTGAATCCTGCCATTTTAAAATATATAAATTTATATAATATTGATATGCAGTGCATAATTACTAATTCTACTAGATGATTGTGACATTTATTGAGTTACAGCCAACCACATACTTAATGACATCTTTTTAAAAATATTATTGCCACCCCATTCTTTCATATAGTTGCATGCCCTATCATGTAAGCATTTGATGGAGAGTGATGTATCCTGGTCTACCTACGCTTGCTTATTCCTAAAATGTCAAATTTAATACCCTTCAGATCTGACCATTTCAAGTTTTCTGTTGTTGATGCTTCTTACATTCCATGATCCACTACATAATTCCTTGACTTACAATTTCTTTTCAAAGGTGGTTTGGCTTACTTCACACCTGCTGAGCCACACCTGCCCTTGCCAATTACTGAGTCTAAGAAGCCCTAAGAAGCTTCATCCTCCCCTTTAACCTTACTGGCAAGAGTGACCTCTCAGGAACTCATATGTCTACCCTCACTTTCAAGGTTATTTGAAGTTACTGAGCCTTTCTACCATGTTAAGCTAATAATCCTCTGGAAGGGCATTTGAATAAATTTATTTTTTATTTATTATTAAATTTGTATGCCGCCCATCTCCCCCAATGGGTGACTCTGGGCGGCTCTAATCCATTAAAAATCAGCTATAAAAACAAATTTATTTTTTATTTATTATTAAATTTGTATAATTTATTTTTTATTTATTATTAAATTTGTATGCCGCCCATCTCCCCCAATGGGCGACTCTGGGCGGCTCAACATTAAAATCAAAAACCCATAAACAATTAAAATACCCCATAAATAATTAAAATTAATTAATCCATTAAAAATCAGCTATAAAAACAAACCCTATACAAAAATACTAAAAACATTCAAGATGATGGGGGGAGCAAAATCAATTACCCCACAAGCCACCTCCACTGGTGCGATCCCCCATCTGGCCCCCAAGCCTTCCGGTATAGCCAGGATTTCACACCTTTTCTGAAGGCCATGACAGTGAGGGCACACCGCACCTTGGGAGGTAGGTTGTTTCACAGAGCGGGGGCCACAGCAGAAAAGACCCTTTTCCTAGACCCTACCAGTCGAAATTCCTTGACTGGTGGGGTCTACAACATGCCCTTTCTGCTGGACCTAGTGGGGCGGGCTGATATAACAGGGGTGAGACGGCTCCTCAGATAACCTGGTCCTCAGTATATCTCGGTAAATGTAAGGACAAGATAGTAACTATTTTAAAAGCTAATACTGGGTTTCTCAGAAAAAACTGAATTAGGAACAGCTGTAATTTAATCAGAGGAATACAGCAGAATTAGACTGTCATTCTTCAAAGAGTCCATTTTTCAGATGACATTTTGTATTCATTATCATTAACCAAAGTGAGAGCCCTTCTCATTTGATAAAATGAGGTTTGTAAAGATGTTCTCTTTATCTTCACCTTGAAATCTGTTGGACAAAAAAACTCTCTTAACAAGCATGCATTAAGATTTTTAAAAATTAATCACTACCCAAAAGCTTGATTTCTATAAAAGTAATCAATATATAGATGATATTCTTTAGAAGGGCAACATATAAGACGGGAGGATTATGAAAGGGCTGCTATTGCTCATTGTTAAAATCCACAGAACCCTGAATAAGAAATGGGATATGGGAAGAAGAGATCATTTGTTGTATGCTAAGAGAAGGTGATAAGTTACTAAGATTGTTTATACTTGTGATAAAGGGGGGAGTCATTTCTTTATATATGTCTTTTCTTTTTCTTTACTATATTCTTACTTTTTCTTTCTTTTCTATTTTTCTACTTTTTTCTTTTCTGCACTTTTTTTATTCTTTTACTTTTTTAGTTTGTATTAGTTTTTAATCTTTTAATTGTAATTTTTAATAAAATCACTATAAAAAAAGGCTAAATGCTGATTTCCTACAGAGTACAAGTCTCATATGGAAGATATATCCATAGCTTAAATTGGTAAGATAGCAATTGACAAGTGTTGATTCTAGTAAGATTGCCAAAGGAAATGTGCATGGTACACAGCAAACACAAAGACTTTCTTTTTAACAAACCAATAACCAGTCTGTATATAACAGCAATCATAATAGAAGGTGATATTCTGAAAATCCTATTCTTTGCACTATACAAATCTTTTTACCCTGGTAGCAAATCTTGCCAGGTTTTAATATTAGACATACTCAGTGTGACTGCATAAATATATTTTAGGCTGTTCTAAAACTACATAACATAGAAAGGAAGGTCAGAAGTTAGCTCTTAAAAGCAAGTAATTGATGTAGTGCTGATTTCATTTACTGAAAAAAGTATGCAGAAAATTCTGAATATGCTTGGTTGCAGAACGCCTGGCAAATGCTAAAGTGAGACAAGGAAAAAGCAAATTAGAAACAATGAGCAGCAGCCAGGAATTTCTGACATCCAATAACTCCTAAGGAAAATGGAGGGAAATCCCTGATACAGGGAAGACAATTACAAAACCACGCATACAATATACTCCTGAAACCCAAGCGACTAGATGAAGTAGAAACATGAGATGCAAAGCTAAACCCGCTATTAGGTAAGCAGATGCGCGCACACCACGGGAGTCGTGCACTCCTCTCCTCTGAAGCCCTCCGGCTTATCCTTTGGAGCAGAACTGGAAAAGGGATGCACAGTGGGCTGCATCAGGAGCAGGAATCTGATTTTTCAGCAGTACTTATCTGCATTTGTAAAAAGATGCAGTTGGACGCAATCTACACGCAAGACACGAATCAGCAGCAGAAGCAGTCAACTCTAGCTGAATGAGGGAAGCAGAACATAGAACGAAAGAGTCTTGCCCTTTAGGTAACCAGTGAAATCAATAATCTCTTTAGGACTGTCTTGCTATTCAGATACATTTGAAGTAGAGGCACCCTATAGGATTTCCCCGTTCCTAAAAAATGCTCCAAGGGCTACTAAATATGTAAAAATGTCATGATTCTCTATTCAGTTTCAGTATGTTCATCTTTGCTTCAAAATCACTAAACTGTTAGATTACAAAGTATTCCTAGCTGAGCGCTTTTTAAAGACCTTTCAAAATACTGTCTGCACACTAAAATATTTTGCCAACAGGTATTTCCTGACATCCATAATGTAAAACTTCTACAGACAGAAGCCAAAAGAAGGAACAGCAGAAAGAGATGTTATTATTCTCCTAGCTAAATTCAGTGCTTGATAATGTATGCCTGGATTTGGAAACCTCTGTGATCTTCCAAAACATTCTAATGCACCAAGTACTTTTCTGCAGATCAAAACAACAGGAAAATCATACGACACAAATTAGGGCCATCCCTATCTTTGAAGGGGCACTTTTCTTTTTTTGCTAAAACTTTTCATTGGGGTTTTAACTTTTCCCTCTCAAGGAGAAAGCTAGTATCACAACTGCTTATAATAAAGAAAACAAGCAGAATAATTTTTCTTTGAACTGTCAACCAAAAACAGCATTTGTTAAAAATAATAAATAACTATGCTTGACCTGCATTCACATACGTGATCTGAGCACCCTCTACTGTGTAAAATTATTCATCGCAGAAATAGAAAATTAATGCTACTATATTATTCCAGACCTGGGTTTCTCAACCATGTAAACATCCCTCTAGCTACCCTATCAAAAAACTTGGGTTTACGTTTATTCAATGCTAGAGTAAAAGAACATGTCCTCACAGTGAAGGATACAATTATAAAACCCAGGTAACCCTACTTCAAAGCAAAGCAAAAATATAGACATGGTGAAATAAAGGCACTCCTGCATACAAACAGCATAAACAGAATGTAATTTTGCATCCCATTCACCCCCTTTATCCTACTCCCCTACATTGCCTCCCACCTCTCTAAATTCTTTATTTCTTTTTACTAGATGGTTAAATATGGTGCAAAGTCAGAAAGAGTCATCCTTGGAAGAGTGGGAAGATAAAGTTAGTTAAACACATCTCAATCCTTACCAGGTCACTTTGGATGACACTGAGTAAAATTATACTTCAACCTTTGCTGTGAATGCACAGCTTAATGAAGAAGAGGCCAAAGGCCTTGATCCCACACACAGCCTTATCCAGCCCCAAAGCTTGGGAACAATCACTTACATAAGATCTATCTTCCATAGTAGCCACAGTTATCCTCAGCCAGGCAATCATCAATAAAACTTGCACTCATTACAAAGCAGTTCACAGAAAATAAAGGAGGAAATTGAGAACTTGTTTTGCAATAATTTAGCAATATTCCAATCTCTAAGTATTAATGCGTACGTGTTTCCTAGTTTGCGTTTACTTGAAAATATTCCACAAATAAAAACAGTATGTTCTAGGAAATGAACTGAACGGGTTTAAGAAAAATCAACAAAATATATCCAACATAATACAGGGCCTTCATAGCTTAAAAATAGTTACCTTTATTGAAGAACATGGAGGCCATCTGACCCATTTCCACCCTTTCTGTGATTTCAAAAATATTAGGTGCTCCTCGTCTCTCTGCAAGTTAGAAGAAGTTTTTAGACTCATAGTTAAGTCATAGTAAGACTGAGCTATTCATACTATACACCATTCTCTTTATCTTGTTTATGAAGTACTAAAGGCATATGCATGTAATAAAAAGAAAGTAACATTACAATAGATGCTTATTTTTAAACTTCTGGTTGGTATGGTGATGACCTGACTTAAAAACTAGTTCTTCTCCAAAGCTAAGACTAAACCCTCGTTTTTAAACTGCTTTATAGTTAAATTGATCAATCTCCTCTTGTCTTTCATCCTTTAAATTACTGCTTTGGTTGCACTACTGGGGAATGTATTTGATTAATTGTGGGCCAAAATTAAGAAGACAGAGAAAAAAAGTCTCTGCTTCTTCCCTCTCTGAGAGAGAACAGTTGCTCAAGTACACTGAAGATTGGCTGAATGGTTTTGGCTGATGACCCAAAAGAATAAGTAACAGGAAAAAAAGCTATGTTCACCATTTTAAAAGCTCTTTCCCAGGATTTACAACTTTCAGATTATTTTATTTATGCAGATAAAAGCCTCAGTGCAGGAAGTGGAGCAGAATTCTTTGGAGCTCAGGCAGAGATTTGATCCTCTAGTTCAGAAACCAGCAGAGTTGAAATCTTTCACAATTGATTCACATGATACAATAATCAGTTTGAAAACTTTGATAAACAACATGTCACAGATGTGCAGCAAGGTAAATAAAGAATTTCAGGATGACATAAGCCATTTGGAGATCTATGTTGTAGAAATAATCCACTATTTCTAAATATTTCTTATAATATTGAGCAAGATCAGTCCATGGCAGTCTTACAGAGAAACTTATACATGAGATTTTTTTCACTACTGCTAGAATGCAAACTTAAAATTGAAACTGCTTATCTTACAGTTTCCATTCAGCACAAGGAAATCAGTTCTATTGTCATAAGATTTTTGAGATACACAGCACAGAACCATATCTTGAATTTATCACAGCAGGCAGGATCTTTGGAATGGAATGTGAAAATGATAATTTTTCCAGATTTGTTTTCACAGTTCAAAGTTATTCAGTAAAGTTTATTTGGCAGCCATATTTTTCTCCTTTTGATATGAACAAGTCTATTGATCCAAGACATGAAGGAAGAAGGAAATTAGAATTTACTAACAGTTAAACTCAGTAACTTCTGAGGGAGGAAAGAAGGCAACACAGTGCAGATACTGTCTTCAACTGTTTTGTACCAAGGCTGAAAATTATTCTGTAAATGTCTCAAGCAAACATGTTAGTTGGAGAGGAATCATCATGGGGAGCTTGGAAGATTATAATCTGGAGAATTTGGAAGATTACAATACTGATAGAAAGTGAAAGTAATTCAACAACTAGCTTGTTTGACATAAGAGCCTGAAAAGATTTAAATTTATAGCTCTCATTTGTTCTTGGAAGCTTTCTATTATACAAGAAATAGATCCAAGGAATAGATCCTTATAGGGCTTTAGGCAAATCCCTGTTTATTTGGAATCTGATGATGGCATGTAAAAAAAAACAAAAGGTAAAAGGAAATCAAGCGGTACCCCTATGCCTAAAACAAATGGAACATTTGTTCTAGATGATAAAAACAACCCTATAGATGCTGAAAGAGTAGCACTAAATAAAAACAGATTTAAGACTAATGAGTTTCCATCAAAGACACTAAAGATTGATGGAGGATAACAGGGAAAAGCAAAACTTAAAGATTCCTATAGTTTTGCCTGAAGGTAAAAAAAAAACTTTGTATACTGATACCAACTACTGCAGCAACAGTAAAAAGCAATTTAGGTGGTTGGAAAGTCTTCAGTCCAAGTTGGAGCAGTAATTGAAGTCAAGAAGATAATAAGTCAAGCAGACAGAGCAGAGAAATTGGCTCCTAAACAATTTGAAAGATGATCTTATTCTACAAAAGAAGAAAAGTGATATTTTATGTCAGAAATGAAGCTTGGTACTGCAATCACACAAACTGAGCTATTAATAAAATTTAAACTGATAGAATGAATATGATAACGTCGGGAGCCAACTAAATATGATACTGTACCTAGCTCCATAAAATATAGTAGAAAGTTCATATCCTGACTTCAAAAAGTGAGCTGACCAATCAGTTGATACTGATGCAGCAGAGCAGTTATTTTCTAATTCATGTATCAGAATTAGAGTAAGTTTATCTGGGTTACTTACAGAAGTAGTATCAATAAAAGAAAAACTAAAACTAGGGAAGGCCAATCTGGCCACCCAGGGGAAGAGATCTCTCCAATCTTGATGTGATCTTCTTTTCCAACTGGTCTATCCCTTTCAGGGGACCTGGTAGTCAGATTATCAGGGAACCTGGCCTCACACTGTTGCTGAGTAATGCTAATCTTCTGCAATAAGGCTACATCCGTTCATTATTTAGTGATGGATAAGCAGGGAGATCTGGTGTGTATTATTGAAACCTGACTGAGTGAGGGTGGGGATGTTGTCCTCTATGAGATTTGTCCAGCTGGGTTTCAGGTCTTACGCTTACAAGACGTGGAATGATGAGGAGATGCGACACTGATCTACTGTGAGACCTTATCTATTTCAAGAAGGACTGTTCCTGAGGTGGCAGGACATGAGTACCTGGTGACAGATTGATTCATAGGGACAAATTAGGGGTCCTTTTGGTGGTATCAGCCACCTTGCTGTCCTTCTGATTCCTTCCTTGGACTACTTAACCCGATAACTGACTTAGTAGTGGAGAATAGCTGCCTGTTGGGGGACTTCAGTCTCCCTGTGGGAGGGACTGGTTCAAGGACTGCCTAGAATTCATGGCCTCCATAGCAACCATCAGCTTGTAACAAGTCATCTTAGCTCTGATATAATAGGTGGCCATATGTTAGACCTTTTTTAAAACTCAGACCAGTTGTTGAATGATTGGAATATGGAGGGCATTACCATTCACGCTTTGTCACAGTTAGATCACTTTCTAGTCCAGATGTGATTGACAACCATGCAATGCCTCTGCAGTCCTGGTCCCATTCAGATTGTCCACCATAAGTACCTTATGGATTCAAGTGGTTTCTGGTGGATTTCCCTGACAGTAAGATAGTTAAGTTCATCAAGAACCTGATCCACCACTGGGAAGAGGCAGCATCCTAGGCTCTTGATGAAATCCCCCCCAAGCAGCCTGTCTCTTATCAGCTGATCCATG